TGAACTCCGCAGAGATAAGGACAAAAATATGATCATTGGTAGTATCTATAGGCACCCTTCAAGTGATATTGCTGCTTTCACTGCCTCACTTGAAAGTAAACTTTCTCAATTACAGAAAAAAGGCAATGAAATAATTATCTTGGGTGATATTAATATAAATTTTCTAAATTATAACACAAATGACCTTACCTCAGACTATTTAGACATGCTTTTAAACCTAGGGTTGATGCCAGTTATAACTAAACCAACAAGAATTACTGACCACTCAGCAACTCTTATTGACCATATCTACACAAATATACCTGAAAGAGTCTTGAAATCAGGAATATGTCTTGCTGACATTTCAGATCATTTATCAGTATTCTGCACAATTAAAAGCAAATTGGCTTTTCAAACCACCAGTAGATACTATAGAGATTATTCATCATTCAGAGAGGATTCCTTTCTCAGTGACTTAGATAAGGCAGACTTTAATAAAATGGTTGGCTCTGATGTTAACCACAGCATGACAAAGATTGAAGAAGCCTTACAAATCATTATTGATAAACATGCTCCTATTAGAAAAATGACCAATGCTAAAGTAAAACAGCAAAAAAGGCCATGGATTACTAATGGAATCTTAAAGTCAGTAAAAAACAAACATAAATTATTCAAGTCTCACTTTCTTAGCGGAGACCCCACAAAGGTCCTTTACTTAAAATCTTTTAATAATAAACTCAATAAAATCAAAGAAATTGCTAAAAAAAAGTTATTTTAGCAATCAATTTGCACTTAACAGATATAATTTGAAAACAACCTGGAAACTTATTGGATTGCTCGTAAGCAGGGAAAAAAATCAACACCTTCTATAAACAAACTGATCTTCCAAAATCACTGTTATACTGATAAGCAAAATATTTGTGAGCATCTGAATGACTTCTATGTAAATGTCGGGTCAAATTTAGCTTCAGATCTTCCAATTCATGACTTTGATCCTAGTAGTTATATCTGTCATAAGCCATCTAACAGTTTCATGTTTC